TCTTTCAGGCTTCCTGGGAACATTCTGTAACTATTTGGGAGTTTTATTTTGAAAATCCACTCTTTTTCAGGCTTCCTGGGAACATCCTGTAACTATTTGGGGGTTTTATTTTGAAAAACCAGGCTCATCACATGTTTCCTAGTAACATTCTATTACTATGGGGGGGGGTCTATTTTCAAAATAAAGTCTCTGTACAGACTTCCTGGTAACATCCAGTTACTATTGGGGGGGCTTATTTTCAAAATAAAGGCTCTGTATAGACTTCCTGGTAACATCCAGTTAGTATTGGGGGGGCTTATTTTCAAAATAAAGGCTCTGTACAGACTTCCTGGTAACATCCAGTTACTATTGGGGGGGGCTTATTTTCAAAATAAAGGCTCTGTACAGACTTCCTGGTAACATTCTATTACTATTATATTGTCAAAATAAAGGCTCATTACATGTTTACTGGTAATATCCAGTTACTATGGGGGGTGTGTGGGGGCTTATTCATACGCTTAAACATAGGCTCTGTACATGTTTCCTTGTAATATGGGGGGGTAGGGTGGCTTATTTTCAAAATAAAGGCTCTGTACAGACTTCCTGGTAACATCCAGTTACTATTGGGGGGGCTTATTTTCAAAATAAAGGCTCTGTATAGACTTCCTGGTAACATCCAGTTACTATTGGGGGGGCTTATTTTCAAAATAAAGGCTCTGTACAGACTTCCTGGTAACATTCTATTACAATGGGGGGAGGTCGTTAATTTTTATTTTCAAAATAAAGGCTCATTACATGTTTACTGGTAATATCCAGTTACTATGGGGGGGGTTNAAAACTGGGGACGAGGCTGGCTGCAGAGAGCGGGCGACGGAATAATCAGGAGAGAAGTGGGAAAAGTGGTGCGGAGGATGAAAGCAAGAGAGAGAGGGGGGAGAAAAACTAAAAGCTCTATAGAAGATGGAGACTCTTAAGAGTGGAGAATCAAGAGAGAGAGAGAGAGAGAGAGAGTGAGGTACAGTTTGAGTAAGTGACGGAGGGGAAGAGAGAGAGAGAGTTAGAGGAGTGAAGCGCTCCTCGACGCGGCTCTAGCCAAAGAGAAAAAAGGGTTTTATCCAGATTAAAGAAGCCAGGCAGGCCTCTTAAGACCATCCGCCTAATGAAATATGTCAAAGCCCATAAAGAAACACTGAGGCCATTTAGGAAGGAGGATGGTGAGGAGGAGTGGGGGGGGCGTGCAGGAAGCTCGGCAAATACACGGCGTCAGCAAAAAATTAAAAACACGCAAAAGCCCCTGTCAATACGCATTAGCTAAGACGTCAGAGTGGGGAGGAGGGAGATGGAAAAAAGGAGGAGATGAAGAAGAGGACGAGGGAGAAGAAAAGAACGGTGCAGTGGAGGAACGGATCGCCTTATTTATCGGGGGGGGGGGGGTGTATGGGCGCTGATCAGAAATCAGAAGAGGGAGGAGGGCGTGGGTGGAGCTATTTGTAGGAATGCTGAGTGAGGGGGATTCGAGGTCAGCGGTTGTGCTCGGGAAATTTGTATTCCGCCGGCAACAGGCGTATAGTTGGCCGCTGCAGGTGGATTTAAGAGCTGGTGTACGTGGAGGAGGCCAGGCCTGCCTCGTCACAACTGTACCCCCCCGCTCATGGTTCCTGCGTCGTCACTTGGGAAGAAATACAGAACTCGGCAGTTAAAACCCAGACTCCTGCAGCGACCGTCTGTCAACACTGTGATTTACTGTATGTTGGTACGTAGCGATGCCCAGAGCAACCACACACCAGCCGGAACCAGAGGAGCAGTTATATCTGACTCAGTGGAAATTCACTGCTGCTGCCCGACCACAGCGCAGACTGGCCCCTCATACTGGTACAGACGAGACACAATAACTCTTTTGTCTATCGCTGATTTCTATAGTCTGATTGTCAGATTAAAGACAAGATCACACTAAGACCAGGCCCTAATACTGTTATCCATATTTTGTATGTTCTCTTTCTTTATTTTTCCTCTTTCCACATGTTTTTTATCAGTAATACAGAAACAAGATGTATGCTTTTGTAAATTAGGGGTGTGTTTAATCATGAGAATGATAAATGCACTTGTATGACAGAAATCAAATAAACATACATGTTTATATATAAAGAGAAATGACAACACTTGTCTTATATAAAAAGCCACAACTCACAAGCTGCATCCTGGATGGATTTCAGAGCTTATTTTCCCGTTGAAGCTTTAATTATTACCTACAGTGAGCATGAGGGATGCTCGATCACCCCCTCTCCCTTTTTCACACTGGATCCCCTAATGGATTTTCTCATCAATTTCATTACTTAAGTCATTACAAGCCATTGCATTAAGTTGCAACTGCAATCCCTGTTTGCTCTGATGTATGTAAAGCAATTTACTGCACATTTATTCATTCATCGCTGAAATTGGTGTAAATGAAAAATATAGCGGAGCGGTGCTGTTCTTAATTAAATGCCTTTTGAGCCAATATTTCTTTATTAATGAAAAATCTTTTTCATACACTTAACATTAGAGGAATCTCGCTGTCAAGTCAAAATGAGATAATTGCTGGTTTGTGGTTTATTAAACTTTATTAAACTTTTATTTTCTTTGCGTGTTACTGATGATAGCACAGGGATAACTTAATTACCATCACATGGATTTGATCTTTCCTCCTGTGCATGTTTTAACTCGTGCTGCAGGGTTTTCTCTCTTAATCTGATGGCATTCACTTAATATTAATTTCACTGAAATGTTTCTGGATCTGGTGGAGTCACATTGTCGACAGGAGATTTATGTACATGTGACTTTTTCAGACATGAGACCAGTAGCGCAGGCAAACATAATATTTTGTATGAGCCTGTAAAAAAGTGGAAGGTAATTTTATATTTTACCTTTAACCATTTAGTTTGAAATAAAACAAGGCAGAGTCCAGTGTGGAGGAATAACCGAAGGCATTGACTCCATTGTAATGCAGTGCTGCATCTGTCAGCTGGGTGAGGATTGAGCACTATAGGCCTGCTGACCCGGGTGGCTATAAAGCATCGAGAGCTCGGGCGCTAAGTGCTTCACAACTCAACTTTGTCAGGCGGGAAAGCCGAGGAGGGAGTGGGAGGCGAAAAGATAAAGAAATGTTTGTGCATAGATTAGAAGAAATGGAGGAAATGAGAACCTTCACGTTCTAGCTTATGGAGAGAGGAGGAAGAAAGAGGAGCAGGAGATCGGTGGGTCAGAAACAAAGAAGGAGTGTTTTCTCTGCGTGTGTGCATGTGTGTTTTAATTATATCAAACACTCACTGTTCTTCTGCCCGACCAGGGATCCCACGTTGCTCTCATCAGCCACTGGAACACAAAAGACACACAGGAAACACCGTGTTATTACATTCCATACATGCAGAGCAGAATATGCATCATTCCAGGGCTTTGTGTGGTTTCGTAAACGGCTATGCCGGTGTCTCTTGCTGCTGGCACGTATATTTCAAATGAGTTCCTGCAGAAGTATCACACAGAGAAGGAAGAGGGAGGCACGAAATGACTCTGACAGAGAGGAAATGAAAAAGGAGCAGAAATATAAGAGAAACCAGAAGAAAGAAGGATATTATGATTGTGGGAGAACAGATAGAGGTGAGGCAAAGGGAGAAATAATAAAGAGGGGGAAGAGAGGAGAAAACAAGAAGAAACCAACACCCGCCCGCCGCCCACCTAATCTAACTACACAGGATTGCAATCGGCCAGTGGCAGCCGCCACAGGTAGTGCACCATGGGATACAATAATAGGTTTTCATTACGCTGCTATTTCTTTTAAATAATCCTTTTCATTTTTTATGAAGTCAATTTTCCCAGCGGACAGATGGATGAGGGGGAGAGAAAATGAGAGGAAGGGAGAGTATTGGAGGAAAAAATGTGATAAACAGAGGTGAGCGAGTGCAAGAAGCGACAGATGTGAGGTGATGGCGAGAAGTTGTGTTTCGAAAAACAAAAATCAGCGAGAGCTCGAATCTGCAGCGGCAAGGCAGAGATACCTTTCCTGTGCACATGTGCCAGATTAAATAAAAATGTAAGTGCGTTCAAAGTTTGGAAAAGAGCTATTCCCGACCACATGACCCTGCCAAATAATAAAAGCTTCCTTTTTTCTGTGGGGGGAAGATAAAAGTCTGGATGTTCAGCAGCCAAGTCTCCTGCCACAGTGGAGGAGCTAAAAATGTAAAATCCTTCTTTTAACCTCCAGTCAGCTTCCTTAAACACTGTTATACATATTTATTCTATCATGGGAGAACTTCACTACATAATACAGTTTCAGTTCAAGGCCCTAGCACTGTTTTTATTGTATGTCGTTCCATTTTTGTTACTTTGGTAATGTGCTACTGTGATTTCATAAAAGAGTAACCATTTTTTATTCCTAACAATATTGAGTTAAAGCTACTTGATACAGTTTTAAAAAACATTTTTTTTAACATCTTAGACTAAAGTATGACGTAACAAGACCCTCCACATATCTCATTTTAACACAGGCGACAGGGTGACTTTATTCTCCTAATATTATGACCCTATTCTCCTAATACTGGAACTATTCTCATAAATCTGCAACTTTTTCCTTGTAATATTATGACTTTATTCTCAAAACATTAAGACCAGCCCCCCCCCTTTAAGTGGCCCTAAGAAGAAGTGATTTCAGGGAAAAGAAAATTGCCTTCTTTCTATAAGGCAACACATGAAGAGCCGCATCCCCTCATCCTTAATCATTTCATTAAATCAAGTTATAAGAAGTGGGATATGTGCTTACAAAATAAAATGTTTGTAACGAAGCTCCAGTGGAAGGCGCCTTATATATAATGATTCACATTTTGTATTTAAATTCAGCCTCAGTCGGTGCTCACCAAATAACTCAGAGCACAATGTAACGTATGGGCTCCGTGGCTCCTAAAAGGTTTGATGATTCAGTGCACTTTGAGCAACTTAAAGCAAATCCATACAGACCATTTTCCAAAGCACACTGCAGCTTTTTACTCTGATAAAAGCATTAGTTTCCATCCATTTCTCATTCGGGGGGAAGAAATACTTGCTACTTGCTGAATCACTGTCAGACTCGCTTGAAAAAGTTAGATATTATAGTGTCTTATTCTATGTTTTACCTTTTGTAAAATACCCTCCTGTCTGATGCTTTCAGGTGGTTTAAAAAAAGAAACAGATTTATTATTCTTTAGAAGAAATCCACACCACTTTGCTCCAACTGAGAAAATGTTGCTATTCATCTTTGCATTGGCAGCTAGAGTGTGTGTGTGAGGGTTTCTCTCTGTGAACGAAAGCTCAGAGTCAACACACTGTATTTGCCAAGGCGACCGAGGTCAATAACAGCAGCTGACGTCTTTCTGTCAAGCGATGTTTAATAAGAGCGACCCTGCTCGGGTTTACCGCAAAAGCTCGGATACACGCAAGCGTAAAGACTGACGTGTGGGAAACTCTCCTGGGTGAAGAAAAAAAAGAAGCCGCTTGGCTCAAATTGTGTTGACACGGTCAGTGTGTGTGTGTTCAGAGTTCCTGCCGTCTTTGCACCTGTACACGCCCACTCAAACAAGCCGTTTTCAGTCATGAGCTCCGTAAAATTGAGCCGAGTTTGCCTTTCACTTAGGAAGATAGGAGGACTAGGAGATAGTCCGGGTCAGACGCGGTCACAACAAAAGGAAAACGTAGAAATTGACGTCGGCCCTAGTCGCTCAAATCTCTCGAGACTCATTGTCTTTCCAAGTTGACATGTTCGGCGGCGTCTTCTACACGTACGGCTCCTCTCTTCCATCCTGAGATATTTGTACTCTTTGCATCTGTCGGGTGTTAGAAACTGACTCAGACATTTACGTTCTCAAATTTCCAGACTATTTCCAGAGTATGTGAGAAAGCAGCTATACACACACATAACTCTGCCGACTACCTTCTCTTTCATTTCTGAGCCCTTTGGAGGGAGGGGACGGACACATAACTGGAGAGATTGCATAAAAAAACTGGTTGAAATAGAGGATGGGCAGAGATGGAGACAGAGGTGAAGTGTATTGGAGTGGATCCTCAGTGGGATAGAGCAGAGAGGGAGTGTGTGTGTGTGTGTGTGTGTGTGTGTGTGTGTGTGTGTTTGTGTGTGTGTGTGTGTGTGTGTGTGTGTGTGTGTGTGTATGTCTGCAGACCCCCCTTGTCCAAAATGAAAGCCAATCAGCTTGTGGTGGCAGAGGCGTGTGCTGCAGGAAAGAAAGTTCATCCAGTGAACCTAATGAACCAGGATTGGAAATCAGAGAGAGGCTGAGAAGAATGAGAGATGGATAGACGGAGGACAGCGAGAGGAATGAACTCACGGGAAAAGATGGAGGGAAATGGAGAAGACGATGAAAAGAAAACAGCAGACTGATCTGGTCTGGAAAAAACAGGAGTAACAAGAATATTGGAAGCATCAAGAAGAAGGGAAAGATGAAAAGATTGGAGGGACAGACAGAGAAAAAGAGGAGAGGAGGGGTCAGCTCGGGTTAATACGAGGAAATAAGTCCTTTCGTTGTTACCTTCCACACACACACGCATGCACACAAGCCATGAGATTGCAGACCTTGCGTCTTTCATTCGCAACCAAGTAGAGAGGACACACGCAGACGTGTTCATCCAGTCTGCTGGAAAGCCCCTGGGTTTAGGAGTTCAGGAGGTCAAATCCCCTCAGGCCGGGGGGATAATGGGAGAGGGCCACATATCACAACAAAGAAATGTACTGATAAGACGCATGTGATCACTGGTGTGTGTCTGGGTGCACGATTAGACTCGTATGTTTGGCTGGGTTGTGTTGAATGAGACAACAATAGGTTTTGCAGGAGAACTAACTTCTTTCATTCATGAGAGGTTTGTTGTATTTGAGCTCACCCATGTCCATGCTCTTGGACGCTCTGTTGCGAGGCACGTTGTCCCTGTCGTTGGCCAGCTCGCCGTAGAAATGTGCAGCGGTGTGCGGCGCCATCGGAACCTCGCTGCAAAAACACGACAGTCGCAATTACTTAGGAACCAGCCGATCAGCATTTTACGAAAAAGAAGAAAAGGTATTTCAGTGGTTCAGTGGTTTACCAAGTCAGAGTAAATCAAATTTAAATTCACAAACACAGAGTGCAGCACAAATCATTCGATTTCCCTTTTTTTCCAGATGGCGTGATTCTGTGGAACAATAGCGTGTTCTGTCTCCAGTAAAACAAGTTTGGAGCTGCCAAACGTTGACTCTTACCACATGAGGATATTTTGTACAAACACATCTCAGATTTTCAGACGTACTCATTCAGGAGATCGTTGACAGAACTTGTGTTTATCGACTTTAAACCAACTCCTTCAGTATTTTCCTCAAATGACCCTAAATGATCAGGATTTGAGTGACGGGACTCAGTTTGAGTGAGAGCTGAATCTTAAAAAAAAACAATGCCATGCTTGGCTAACTTTCTCTCAGGCTCTATACTTCATATCACAACGAAAAGTAAGTATACTACTCTTACATATATATACCGAATTATTTATTTATATATATATATACACATTAATATATATATATTTATATATATGTATATATTATTATATTTTGTTTTAAAGCTATAAAAGTAAAGCTGAGGCCTGCAGATGAAAAGAGTGTGCTACGTTTAAAAGGTCATTAAATCAACTGTTTCATTAATTTTAAAAGAATTTAAAAGTTTAAAAGCAAAAAACTTTGAAGGATCATCAAGGACCACATTCAATAACGGCATCATCATTTTCTCAACAGCTAATGAGGCTCGTATGAAAAGATAGTTTGGTACAGACTGAGGCTGCAGCACATTAACAGAAGTATCATAGCTTTTTCTAAGCCTTCATGCGAATTTACACGAGCGCAATATCATCATCATTACTTATGCATAATGCAAATAGCTGCAATTAGACTGTATAGTCTAAATAATGCATATGCGTTGTAATTTAGTGTAATGACTCTTCTTTATCTCATAACAGGGCGGCCCAAATTAAGAGGGCCATTAGAATATAATAACTCCAGCCGTGTGCGTGCTTTAATAAAGTGCTGATGACGGCACACTCCACTGTGCGTTATGCGGGGGGGGTACCTGTGGCGTGGGGAAGTTCGAGGCAAGTCTCTGTTCATCTCCTCCACGGCGCCGGGGGAAGGAGGCGGGGGGAAGTCTCTCTCTGGCTCCTCGTCCTCGTTGCCGTAGTGACCGTAGCCTCCGTTGGTGGTCGCAGCGGGATACGGTGCTGAGGAGGAACAAAACATGCAGAAACAGGGAAAGGTAACAAAAGGACGGAATCAAAGTTGTGGTGTTTGTTAATTTTTTATTTATTTTTTTTGTCATTGTTCTGCCTTGATTTTTTGCTCATTACAATATCAAACGTTAAAGTGCCTGAAGCGAATGAAAGCTAAATAAAAACCTTGATATCCAGTCTGAAATCTTTTACATCTTAACATTATTTCTTATTCATATTGATCCGTTGTGACAGGACACCACACACACATTTACACACACACATTGACTCACAGAAAGTAAGCTCGGCCTTCGATTGTGGATCAATACCGTCAATAAAGAGCTTGGCGATGTCAAATTCATAGATTCCACATCTACCAGCCTTGTGGTGTAAATGTAGTAATCCACCCACGTCCGCTAGAGTAAGCACGGACCCCCATGCCCACAATTTGCCACCATATTGACTAAAGCCTTATTCCAACTTCAAGTCTACCTCTAACATTTCCATAAACTGCAAATCCCAAGAGCGCGTCATTTCCCCCCCCCCCTCCTCCATTCAAAATGACTGTAACTCCAGTCTGATGGAGAGCCTCGGCAAGAAAAAGCAACTCCAGCTCCCTGCATCCCAGGGGGTGAGGCGAGGGGAGACACAGGAGAGAGATAAATAATGGATTTAAAACGGTTTCTTCTTCTTTTTTTCTCTCCCTCTCTTTAACACAACAGCACGCGCGCTGCATTATATCCCCCGTATGCAAATTGAGGCCTGATAAGAAGCCGTTTCATCAGCGTAATGATTCCAAGGTCAGATCTTTTGCACATGAAAAGCGAGCGTGGCATCCAGAAAAACATAGCTAATGACTCGCCTTTCTCCGGCTATAAATATGTAGTGAAAAGAGATGTAAAGACAGCGCTCGGAGAAGATGTGACAATTTAGTTATACAGCGCTGGAAGAAGCTCGGAGTGGCGGCTACCATGAACACAAAGAAACTGGAATGGCCGCCCTTATCCATCCGCCAAGTGTCTACATACTGCACAATTCTTTTCCAGACTCATGAGGTCACCGTGACTTACCACTGAAATCTGATCAGCTCATCGACTCTAACCCTAAAGTCAAATATATGTTTTGTCCTCTGAGTTCTCCATTTTTCCTCTATCAACCTAAACTAATTACAGCATTAATTGCTGGATGGAGTCGAATACTTTATTTTCGAATGATAGTATAATTTGGTACAATAGTGTCAAAGAATATTAGATCTTGAATCGTCTCATTTCTGTTAGACCTCCGAAGGATGTGACCCCTGAATTGAGACACAGATATCATGTTCACAGGAATGGGCTATAGCTGTGTGTCATGCAATGCAGTGGATACACACACACACACACACACACACACACGTAGATAAGCAAACACACTGTGTATACACTCCGTCGCAGATAACACAAGTACACAAACTCTCAGAGCCTGGTGTTGACTATCTGACAGTTCAAACGGACAAACATCGTTCTTGTTGTCGAGTGTGTGTGTGTGTGTGTGTGTGTGTGTGTGTGTGTGTGTGTGTGTGTGTGTGCTCACCATTCCCAGAGCTGCCGTGCATGTAGTTGTTGGTCGCCATGTGACCGGCAGTGTTCATGGTGGGCTTCTGGTAGGCGCCGTTGGCCCACAGCTCCTGTCGACACAGAATCAAGAGGGGCCAATGAGGATGGTTATTAAAAATTCTAAAGTCAAAAATAATCTTCCAATCTCAGTCACACTTGTGAGTTATGAAAATTTGATGATGTTGCCTCACATATGAGAAGATTCAAGTTATTTCTGTTATTACCCAGTAGGGTTGGACTAATGTCTTTTTTATTTGATTAGTTCAGCACGTAGCACACTGACACCAAAACCAACCAAGTGGTTTGATGCAATTTCGTTCGCATTCCCTTCATGATCACAGAGATTTCCAAGAATAGAAAACACAGTATAGAGCATCATGGACCCACAGAGAAAGAAATACAACTAAAGCGACTCGCAGCAACTTCAAATCTCAGAATATTGCTTTTTATGAATGTTTTACATTACAGGGCACATTTCCCTACTTTCTTTGACCTCCACTAAAAATGTTTGCCTGTGTTCCCTTGTTATGTCAGCAGGACTGTGCAAAAAGTACAAGATGAATTTCCACGAGAGTCGGTGGAAGGATGGGACTCCAGCCAAGAAAGAACCCATAACATTTAAGCTTGGATGCGGACAAAGGGACAGATCCTGGATTGTGTTTTTCACTTTCTTTAACATTGTGAGATTTTCACCAGTCTCCCAGGTAGTAATTCATGGATCTGGATGAAAAATCAAGCATGTTTAGGGGAGCGATATCTATGAGTGTGTGCAATTTGGTGCAGCTTCATTGAATCTTAGTGGAGCTACTTTCATAACATATTGATTGAAATGAAATGATCTTTACATCGTCCAGCAGTGGACGCGTTCAGCATTAATATGAGTACAAACTTGAGATTTCTTTGGGATGGAGCAACTTGCCGTTTTGTCCCACACACGCACAAAAAAAGCAGGATTTGACATTGATTTTGTAAAACTACTGTTACATCCTGCAAGCAGTCAACTAATATTCACCTCAGAGAGCGAAGCGGGAGCTTTGAGGAAACGTGAGAACATCTGAAACAAACCTCTGAGGAGTTTCCAGCAGCAGCGTGAGCGATGAAAATAAAATATCACAAAATATGCAACATGATCATAATTGGGACAGAAATGTGTCATGTGCCTGACTTTTTAGAGATCACATCGACAGTTTTAGTCAGGGAGGAGGAAATAGATAGATTGTGGAATAGATACGAACAAGAAAATCTATACATATATAATGAGGGATTTTTTTTTGTTGCCTTTGGCAACATTTTTGAAAAAATGTTTGGTTCTCTTTATTCTCTTCATGTGCACGACTGAAAACACAGTAATTAAGATAATCCTGAGAGCAGTGACAGGCATGTTATCGAAAAGCCATCCAGCACTACAAAGGACCCCCCCCCCAACACACACAGATGGAGATAGGGACTGGCAGTGCATGTTGGGAATCGGCGCTGGTGAAGGATGAAAGAAGCCTTTTCTGGTCAAAGAGATAGGGGCTACAGCTGTCACACACACACACACACACACACACACACACACATGCATGCACAAAACAGACACACACCTACAACACACACCTATTTAGAATTTTTTTTATAAAGACACTGTGTGTAATCATGAAAGGTGTTTATCCAGAGCTTTCTCACTTCAAGGCTGTAGATTGAGTGTCTTCACAGTGTCATGGAGTCCCTCGGGTGTCATTAGCACCAACCATACATCTAATAAGTCACCACATCACAGCTGTCAGTCACTTGTATATACACTCATATATATATATATATGCATTTGTACGCAAATGCCTGACAGCTCTGCTGCATATGCCAGTGACATACATCGTATAATAGCCAGCATCCATCCATCTATCTATCCATCCCTTCATCCCTTCATCCATCCATCCCTCAGTCTTGCCTTGGGCTTTTAAAGCAGCCTGGCAGACAGGCAGTCAGATATCTTAATCCCACAACAATACATAAACTGGGAGGATGTGTGTGTGTGTCGGGGGGGGTCCATCTATCCAGCCAGCACCCACCTACAGCTGCATACAATAGGATCCTGAGAGGCTTAGCTCTGCCTCACCCTGATGTGTCACCCACCCCACCCATCCACAAATCACTAAGAAGGGACGGACAGAAAAAACACTTTCTTTCTTTCTTATAGTTTTTCTCTGCTTAATCTCATTAACGGTCATTTACCGGATAAGTACCTCACACCGGACTCTGGAATCTGAATGGCAAATAAAGTTTTGAGTGACTGCAGGACAAAGAGGTAATAACTGATATTTAAGCCGTGTCTGTTTAATGCCGCAATTATGTCTCATTAGGGTCGTTGTTGTGGCAGAAAGACGACAAGACCAGGAGGGATGAGGAGAAGACAAGCGGTTATTATCTTCTTTTACAGCAAAACCTTTGGAAGTGTTTAAACTTTGCACAAAAAAAAGGTAAAATGTGACTTTATATCAGCAAAGCAATAGTTCTCATCTCTACAAAGTAGAAAGTGGAGATGCGTCATCCATCTTTATTTGCAGCCTCAGGCCCACAATGACAATGCTAAATGCTTGTGTGTGCAGTATGTTAGTTTCACATGTTTACATGCTGACATTAGATAATTATAGAGTATATCAAAGAACGTCAGCTTTGCAGGTATTTGATCATAAATCAATGAAAGCCAGATTAATTAATCAATAAATCCTATGGGAATGAGTAATGGTCAGTTTCTCGTATAATAACACAGAGAATAACTGGGAAATAAACTGGGAAAAAATCTTCATGTAATTAATATGAATAAAATATACATATTAATTAAAGATTTCAAGATAAATGGGGTCATTTTATGTTCATTAGGATTTCAGGTTAAACCATTTGGCCCTTATGAAAAGCCAGCTACAGAGACAAGAGAGGCTGAGGGGCTCTGGGAGTTTTACTTCAGGGAGCGCTTGTTTTATCACACTGCCCCACGGTGTCAGCAGCCTGGCGGTTTGTTGATGAGAGGAGGCCTGTGCAGATATAAACTGAACTCTGAACTGGGCTTGAAAGCATTTATCTGCAGGCTCTGATGACTAAAACAGAGATGCAACGATGGGAGTAAAGCGCAGACGAGATGGAAATGTCACAATGGGCGGGTCAGCGGGAGTCAACCCACTAACCCTCCTATTTTTATTCCTTCTTTTATGCAATCGCACATTATCGGTGAGCTTTAACTGCTGTGAAGCATCTTTATGTGCGTTTGAAATAATCAGTCATGGTTGGACGTGGAGCTGAATGGAGAGACTCGGCTCAGAAACGGCTATTTCTCACCATCTGTCGGGTTTGATATCTCCATCGTTTTGTCCATCGAGGAACGTGTGCGGCTGCTTTGTGCGAAGTGAACAATATTCTCATGCAACTTTGCTAGCGATTATAACATCGCTCCACTAGGGATTAAAGGAACAGCCGCAGCAGGGAAACGGCTTAAGACGTTCATAAGAGCAGTTTTTTTCTCCGACACAAAGAATGAAGAGATAAAAATAAGCAAAGGTTAACACATTCCGTGCAGTCGGATTTTTAACAAACCTATCACATCTGAAAGAGAGTGTTTCACGTGGAGCGTTCATGAATACTGATTGTACATTTGCGCCAGGCTTCATTAGGTTTTCCTGAAATATGTTCATTATTTCCTATATCACTGTGAATGTGTGACGCCTGGTGTAAACTACTTATTTATAATTATAGTATCTTCATGTTCAGATAATGAATCATGACTGGATGTTTTACACGTGGGAATATTCAGTTGTTTAACTCGTGAAATATATCCTGGTTTCTGCTCGGAGTGAGTTACAAGGGATAAAGAAAAGACAGAAAGAAAAGAGATGCTGAGGCCGAAACTACAACGTAGTATTAGGTCATCACTTAAAGGGAAAAAAATCTGAGATTTTGAGAAAGAATAAAGTTGTACTTTTTCAAAAGTAAAGGATAATTCTCTATTCAAATAAGAATTACGACTATTAGGACTTTATTCTACTAATATTATGAGGAAAAATACACTAAACCTATAATATTTTTATCACAAGAAAAAAAAGGAATAATTACATGAAAAGTTGTTATTTTATGAAAATAAAGTAAAATTCTCATATTACTATTTTTGTAATATATTTTAAAAAGTCTAAATTTGACCTGAATAAAGTTGTTTTTATTAGATTGATGTAAAATTCTTTCACATTATATTACAACTTTATTTTAATAACATTATAAGAAGACTTTTTCTTGTTAAGTCAAATTTAAGTAAAATTACAACTTTATTCTAGTAATATCATGTTTTCTATTTAAGTTACAACTTAACAATAAAGTAAAATCAAGACTTTATTCTTGTAATATTAAGAATTCTTCTCAATTACAACTTTATTCTCGAAATCTCTGAATTGTTTTTCTTCCCTAATGCTCCGTCGCATGAAACAGAGGGAGCTCAGATGTAATTTAATCAAGAGACAGTGAAGCAGAGAGAGAAGGCAGCAGCTGAAAAACCCAAGAGAGAAACAGACAGACAGGCATGCAGGAGAGTTCAGATGAGCTTTATTTAACAGAGGAGAAACAGGCAGGTGAGACAGGAGAGCGAGAGGACACTTCCTCCAAAATAAAAAGAAATTATAAAAGGAAAAAGTAATACAAAACTTTACACAGACAGAAAAACAGGAAAAAAAGGACATTTAGGTTGTACAGTTTGAACTCAGTGGTTTGAAGAGAAACAGAGAAAAAATAAGCAGTCGCATTTTAGTGAGTTAAACCCAACGTGACAGAGAGGAGATTGTCCATAGTGAAGAATTTAGTATTGCACTGGGTTTATGGGTAATATGTTAAAAGGAGAGCTGTAAGAATTAGTGGTGTTGGCAAAGGAAAGGCTTTCAATCAGATTAATATGCTTCCACTTCATCAGTTACTAAAACTGAGGCTGGAGGAAAACTCAAGTGATATTTTCTCCGTCGATTTAATTCAAAATATAAAATGTTTACTGTTATAAAGCTTCAGAAAGATAAAACCGATCTTAATTTAAATTTTGGTTTATTCCAATTTTTTAGTTTTGTAATTAAAAACATCTTCTTCAACACACACACACACACACACACACAAAGACTAACAGTGTCAGAGTCCACCTGAAAGCCGTAGGTGGTGTTGCCTATTGAGAGCACGGTTGTGTGCGTAGTTGTGCGAGTGTGTGTCTACGTACACGTCTGTGGATCTGTGTGTGTTTCTGTCGCGTGTGGGAATCCTGCTGTTTACGGGCGGGTCTCCGTACATCTGCCCCGCCATGGCCCTAATGTTTTCTGTGTAGCCGTCTTGAATGTGGAAGGTGTCTAGTGTGCGGCTGCGCCCGTGCCTGGACCGGCATCCACGCTGCGCGTCGGCAAACACGTGGCCGTGGGTGTTATCGAGGGAGGCGGGGCCCTGCATGGCTGCAAGCATTGGGCTGCGTGTGTATCCATATTCGTACCTTTCCCTGTTTAAATTTCCCTCTGTCGCTCTGTTAACACTGTTCAGTGTCTGACTGTGAGAAGCCAACCCAAACTTGTACCTCGTACTCGGCCTGTGCACGTCACATCTACCTTCATCGGCGCTGTGCTCTACATCCCTTTGCACAAAACCGAACGTGTAGCCACTTCGCCTTTCCCTTTGGTTAAACCCAAATGTGTATCTGGTGTGCGTCTCCCCGGGCCGCTGTGTGTAACGCTGCCTGTGGCTGTGGGGCAGCGGCTCGGACGCTCGCCTCCTCAGTGCGGGGAGGAGGGAGGAGGAGCGGCGGGGCAGAGGTGGCTGCTGCTGGCGGCAGGCGTCATCTGCTCGTACCTGATTGCTGGAAGCTGTTTGGGGGTCGGACTGATGGGAGCTGGAGACATTTGGAGCTGGGTTTGTTGAAGAGGTGGCACTGCCCATCTGTAGAAAAACAAAAGTACAAACTTATGAACTGCCTTCAGCGTTTGCTTGCACCGTTACTCTGGGGCTGGCAGGAAAAGTCCGTAACAACTGACTCAGACATTTGCGAGCTCTTCTGGATCATTTCAGGGAAATATCCATGATTTCAGTGTCTACAGCTGTTTCCATCGCCGACACGTCAATTAACAACCTCATCACTTTCCAAAGAGCTGTTACCTGCTTCTTCTTGATAAGGTGTGGCCTCTGTTTTTTTAAAAACTGTTAAAATCAGCAAATAAACACCCAAACAAATCTTACAAAGGAGCCTTTATTCTGAGGTTTTCATTAATTTACTCAACTGAGTTTTTATTGTGAGAAGCAAGAGATAGAACAATTAACAGCTTTCACTTCTGAAGGCTGTTTGAATACTGGTAGTAGAGAAAAATGAGCACCATCTTAACCGGGTTTGTAAAGAAATTATGAATAACCTGGTTTCATTTTGCAGATACACATCTAGCTCCGCAGCTTACAGTTTATTCAGCCGACTGCCTTTTTCCTGTGAGTCTCCAACGATCATAACAGCAGAGAGGAATGATCCTAATGCGAACGATACATGTCATTGATTTGGCTGTCAAAAGTGTGGCGGCAACTTATGAATAATGTTGGAACAGATCAGGCTTTCGTAATGCATAACAAGTGCCCCTAAATGTTTCATGTAATCAAATTCCTCTCACTGAACTCTGAGAACGTAAAAATTTTAACATGTTGCCCCACATCCTCCTCGGAAAGCTTCAAAAGCAAAAGACGTGCGGTAAAAACATGGATAGAGCCTGTGGTGAAAATGAAAGTGGAACGACATTTATAGGTTTTTGAATCTATTGACACAAGAGCTTATTATTTTTTGTATGAAAAATAAAAGGAATAATAATATATATGGATGATTTAAGTGCAACTGAGTTTTTCACATCAAGTAGGGCTTTCTTGATGTTTGTAAATGGCCTGATTCCCACATGACTAAGTGAAGTAAACTAAAAGAAAGCATGTTGTGATAATGTTAAAAATAATACTATAACATCAGTCAGATAGTCAGGCTTCCTGTTATTATCATCTTTTTCCAAGACTTTCTAAAATGCATGACCTAAAAATGTCACTCCCTTCTGTTTATGTTGTTTTTCCCAACGGCAGGAGCTTGATTTCTAAAATCCAGTTAGGTTGAAATAATCTGACAAATTGTGAAACGTGCATGTCACCCGTAAAGATTTCCTCTGACTGGAGTACACCTGTCGATTTTATATCCCATAAACGTAATCCCCCCCGCTCATACCTGTCTGGGTGCTCGGAGCACGACGAGCTGGATGGTGCCTCGAGTGTTGCCCTCCGACGACATGGAGCGTCTCAGCGTCTCCATGGCGGCGTGGTTGGAGCGGCCGAGAAGCGACTCGCCGTTCACGGCTACAAGCTGGTCGTTTACATTCAAACGGCCGTCCTGTCGGGGAAAAGACAACCATGGAGAGTATTTAAATGAAGGAATAAACCACCTCAAGAGATAAAGAGATTTTCACAATAAAAGTCATATTTTTAACTAGTAAATACAGGAAAAAGAAGAGTTATAGGCGTTTTTAAGACGTTATTGTTTGTTGTGTCATGAACAGAAGCTTTAAAAGTAATAATTACAAAAAGGCTGGAGTGCAGAAAGCAAATCTGACAACAAAAAAAGTTGTAGGAGAATAAAGAAGAGTAATTGGGAAAGGCATATAATGTGTGCAAGGGATGACAAAGAGAGAGAGAGAGAGAAAGTAGAGATGAAAATGGAAAAAGGGGGATGGCGGGAAAAAAATTGTAGAGTTAGCAATCTACGGAGAGTGGGAGAGCCATGATAAATACATAGAGCAGCTAATGGAATAGCCTCTGTGGGCACTAAATCACTTCTAAGTGTTTTAAAGAGCAGCCTCTTGTAGGGAGGCTACACAGAATGGTGCCCTGCAGGGAGAGGGAGAGGGGACGAGCGGGCAGGAGAAGAGAGAGAGCAAGAGAGAGAGAGAGCTAAAGAGAGAGGGATCAAATGAAAAAAGAGATGCAAAGGGCAAAATGAAAAAAGAACAATAAAGATGAAGGCACTTTGAGACACATGCACCCTATAGACTCTCATAGTGTGTGTGTGTGTGTGTGTGTGTGTGTGTGTGTGTGTGAGTGTGTTTGTGAGTGTGTGTGTGTGTGGTTGAGATTGGTCCATTATGGTCAGCGCTGCCCTTTGACCCCAACTCATTAACAAGGCACCGTCTGGGCTGACCCCTCAAATGCAGACTCGGATGGCACCACACACACATGCACTCACACACACGGAGAGATTTTGTGTGTCTGCATCGAATCCAAAGATGTCATAAAAAATTAATGTTTATGCTAAAATCAGTGTCTGTGGTCTGTGATATTCCCCATTAATTTCTCCATCCTCCATGTAGGCAGCAGCAGCACGATACATGTAATTTTGATTTATTTTCTTAAGCAGACTCTTGGAATTGATCAGACGACAGGGATAAATTTAAAGATCATTTTTTTTATAAAAAATATATATAACTGAGGCCTGGGGCCCTGACAGCAGCCAAAACTCTCTAATGGAAATAGGTTAAATCTCTCTGTGACTCTTCCTCATCTCCTCCCTTTTTTCTGCCTGCTGTGTGTGTGTGTGTGTGTGTGTGTGTGTGTGTGTGTGTCAGTCAGACTCAGGGGACACACGGGTTCCCTCCTCTGTCCCAGCCTGATGCTGCAAAGTCTCATCAGGCCCTTTAAGCTGCTTTTCATTAGCATGTATCAACACTGAGAAGGATCCACACACACACACGCAGACAGGCATTCCCTCATGTATTGTGTTCCTGCTGAGTGTCTCCACTTTTCAATTTTCTCTTTCTCCCCTCATTCCGCCTCCTTCCATCCCTCTATTGTTCAGTATCGCTTCATTTCTTCCCTCTCAGACCACATCCCTTCTCTCACTCATTCACCTGCTGTCGTCTTTCAACAAGCTTCCTCCCTCCCTCGCTACTGTCTGTCTCTCTTCCTCCTTCACGTCTCCCCTTCCTCTTATGTGACATCTTGTCCCAGAAAAAAATGTTTTTCAGCCGCAGATCTTACTGGGCCATTCTGTTGGAGCGCTATCCACACCGGCAGCTGTCTGAAAGCGACTTCAGAAAGCACTGCGGGGAGCGGCTGTCTGGCCTGTTCCCAGACCGGCCGTTTTATCTGCAACGCCACACTCGTCCCTGCGCCTCCTCATCGCGCTGAGCAGATCTGGGAGCAGTGGCGAGGGGTGGGAGGAGCTGCAGTATGCGAGGAGGGCCACATATTGAGGCCAAGTGGAGGAATCTCCAAAGTGCTGAAACTGGATGTTTTTTTTCTTTCCTGATGCACTTACAACCTAAAGTGAGCACTGAGTGATACAGATAAGACGGCTGCAGTGCTGATGTAAGGACATTCGCAGGTCGGTGGCGGTCAAAAGTCGAGGGAAGTCGAGCGGTTGTGGCCCCGAAGAAAGACAGGAAATGAGATGGAAGAGGCAAGAGGTGCAAGGGAGGAGGAGATAAGAGGAAACGTCAGAGAAAGACATCAGACAGAGTGTGGCCGATACAATGAGATGGAAAAAGGGAAGAAAACATTAAAAAGAAAGATCTTCACGGAGAAAAAATTGTATTTTGTAGAACCCCTTGAGATAAAGTCAAAAGAAAGGCACACATCTAGCTGGCTATCCAACATGCTTCAAATTTCATGTTTGATGTATTCTTCAGGATCTTTAAATGGCTTCTGTGACAGCAGACGCATAATGAGGCATTTAGAGACGATATAGAAACTTTTATATAAAAATAAAGAAACGAGAAATCTTCAGAACATCAAGATGTGAGATTCCAGTTTCATCTGCTTTTTATTTTGTTTCAATCTCTAGTCTGTTGTGGTATTTGTATTCTTTCTGCTATCCACTACACACTTTTAGATATTCAAATGTATTTTTTTTTCCATTCAGTTTGTACTTTTGTAGATTGAATAACTCATCACTTACTTAAAAATGTAACCTCACATATCTAATGGCAATTTAAAAAATGATTGGAAAAATTCAGCATAAAGTGACTTCGGCCTCTTTCTGTAGCACTGCCTGTGCATCCTATTGATCACGATGACATTGTAATCAATGAGGAAGTGCAAGATACGATTCAACAGTTTTGCAGATTATCTAAAAGTGCAATCAATTTTTTTGCCCCTGTGTCACCCAGCACAAACATCTGTTCTACCTTATACGCAGCCCCTCCGTGGATGATGGACTTGATGAAGATGCCCAGGTCTTCTCCAGTCTCTCTGGACCTGTTGCCCTTCAGGCTGACGCCCAACCCGGCCGAACCCGACTCGTTGAGGGGGATCTCGTACATCAGCTGCTCCCTGCCGTCCTCCAACACCACGCTGCTGGCTTCCTCACCTTTCTGGAAGAGAAGATGAAGGAAGGAGGGATTTAAGGATACAGGATTTAACAAACACTTATTTTTCCCCTTTAATGCCTGTTTTACATAGTAATTGCTGTATGTGATTGAGGCAGCTGCACCATATCTAATGCACTGACTGATAATGCATGCTCCTAAATCACAGTGATTACACACAAAAAAAGGAGTGAGCGGGAAACGGATTAAAGAGAAGGAAGACAGCTGCCAGGAGGGAAAAAATAAGAAAGACAGGATAAGGAAAGGAAAGACAGGAGGATGAGAGGAGCAGGTGTTGTGTACCGGAAAGACAGATGAAGGTGTAGTGAGGAGAAGAAGAAAGCTACTGTGGAGAGGTTATTCCATTTGGAGATGAAAAGGCGAGAGCAAGCCATTTCTAAAGGAAACATAATAACCTTTCATACTTCTTCCTGGAGCACAGTGGGGGAGGAGAGGGGAGGGAGGAAGAAGAGGAAGAGGAGGAGGAGAGAGAATGGAGTGCAGAGGAGCATTTAAAAGTAATAACCCATCCCTGAGGTATACCAGCTACTCTCGTTCCCTCTTTACATTTCAACCTAATCTGTCCATCTGACTCTCTCCCTCTTTCTCAATTCCTCCTCCCCAGACTCCTGCTCCACCTCTGCTTCCTACAGGTGCATCTCACCCACCTCACCCACCCACCGCTATTTTTAATCTGATTAAAATGAGTGTAGCGGCAGAGACGGCAGCACTGCAGCGAAAATGAGATGGAGGAGGGAGAAAAAGGGCAATAAAAGAGAAAAAGAAAATGTCTGTCATTAGAGGATGGCAAAATGGAGAGCCAGGTTCAGTCACCCGGGAAAAGAGGGCCCGCGGAGGCGCCACTTTACTCCTGAGCGTTTTTCTTCTTTGCAGAGGAAGGTTAAGAGGGGGTGTGTGAGTGTGCATATGTTCACACATCGAGTGTTCATTCAATTCAGTTACACAACAGCCACTCAAATATATCAAATTATAAAATGGAATGTTGCAGGAATGTGTATATACATTATTCCAGTCATACGTCGTGTCACAGCTTTAAAGATGTGAGCGGCCATACAAGGATTGCGGCAGCCTTACATCACGCTCCACTAAATCAGGAATCCATGTTCACATTTCCCCTGCATGAGGAGGAAGGACGTGGGAGGGAAACATGTCCTCCAGAATCCTTTTTTTCCAAGTCTGTCTCCCTACCGTCAGCACTACTTGTCTAGGTGCTTAATTAAAACAACAGCCCGCTAAAGCCTCGAGGCCAAGAGGAGACGCTACGTTCCAAAAGTGTGAGTCAGGGCTCTCGACGCAGTCAAAAGGTAAATGAGCTAAAACCTGGGAGGTCATCTGCACTGAGCTGATACGCTGTGTTTAGTCACTGCATGCCTTCACTTTGGATTTAAAGTCAGGTTGACATGGCTGTAAGGGATTCAAGTTTCCACATCAGACGTCAACAACAGCAGTGATGTCACAAAGTACATTTTCTTGCACTTATCCAACATCAGGTCTCAGAGGCAGCCGGCTACACAGCGTGTTCCAGACTTCCCTCTCCCCAGCCAAGTTTTCAAGCTCCTCCATTTGGGATGCAGAGGCGTTCCCAGGCCAGATGGGATATATCGTCCCTCCAGCCAGTTCCAAGTCTCATGAAGAAGCAGTGGTTCTACTCCGACCCCTCTCGATGTTTAAATTCCTCACTGATCTCTAAGTCTGAGCCCAGCCAACAGATGAAGAAAACTAATTTCTGGCTAAAACGTAGTTAGTTTACTGCATGAACTTAACCAGAGACAGACGACGAAGCATGTGCCCAAACTAACAGTAATAGAGACATTTCCGTGATGACCTTTGGCGCTGAAGTGCCTAAAAACTGACAATGCAATTATTTGAAAGATTTTTTATTCATAAAATTGAACTTATGAAATTTAAGACATGAGGCCATGCGTCGTCAGAGGAATGTGAATCAGCCTTTTGTGAAAAACCTCGTCAAACATCCGAGCTGAAGGGTAACATTTCAATCACAAGTAGAAAACATTTATAAAACATGCATTACTACAGTTTCTGGTGTACTTTTACTTCTGACAAGAACAAATCTGCAGTTATCAGACTCTACCGATAAGCACCTCTCAGGTGATGATCATATTCAGTTCCACGTGAAACAGCAAACGCACAAACTATTTTCTACTTCGCTGCAACACAACAGCTTCAGTCGAGGCTTATTTTTATCAATAAGGCGATTCAAGGAGCGCTGTTACTCAAAACCGGAGGAATTAAAAAGACAATCCGCCACTTCCTGCTTGAGAGACACTTGAGACGGCTCACATGGCACCCTGGGAGGTTTTTTTAAATACCTCTGTGATCTCGCTGTAATGGCAACAACAACACAAGGTGAAGGTGGCGGTGATCGGAGCGTGGCGCGCTCTGAAGGATCTGGGAACGAAACCATGATATTGGAATGTTATTAAAGTTGAGGAGCGTGTTTATTTATTGTGTCACGCTGCTGATTTGAATCTATTTACACAAGCAGCTGAATCTCAGTGGTGGTCCACACACTCTCACACACTAATATCCCCTCTAATGCCCTTTCCTTGGGGGCAGATTGCGTCCCCATGGTGGCTGAGACCCCTTGGCTCCGCTCGGTGACCCCCTCCTCCTTCCACCGTTAGCCCTCAGCAATGGCTCTTTAACAAGCTTTTAGCCGGGAGGAGACCACCCTCTTCAGCGCCAAAATGAGGAGACAAAAGGGAGCTTTTTCTTACCCCCGGGTGGGTGGCGAGGAGGGGGGGTGATACACAGCGATTACACACAGAGCCTTTTGTCGCTGAGGATTTCTAAATGGGGGGTTTCAAAGCGGCGAGATTAGCGGTGAGAGCGACATTCAATTAAGATGAGATCTCACCGCGCTTTCAGGCGACGATGGAGCTGCCAATTAATCGCCTTAATGTCTGCCTCTTCGCCCGCTTTACATCTTTACCTCACAAAAAAGAAATGGAAAGTAAAATGACTGATTGAGGGATAATTCCGGTGCGTGTTGACGGGGGAAGGCGGAGAGCGAATAAGAGAAAAACAAAAGCAAACTCTACCTTGAAGAAAGGAAGAGAGGGAGAGCTGCAGAGAATGGGGGGATAAGTAAAAAGAAAAGAGGGTAACGGCAACACAGCAAAGTCGCTTTCTGTCTGACGACCCCTTTTCCTGTGAATCGGTCTAGGCTGCGGGTCAACCATGTGTGGAGTGACCCCTCCATCCTGTCCTTGGCCATATCATAATTCCTCTGCGGACACACACTTTCACTCGCACAAACACACATATCACTCTCCCACTGAAACCCACGCACACAAAAAAAAAACCTCTCTAATCCCCACCCTGAAACAGAACGAAGGCCCCGTGAAATAATCAGAGCGCAGAGCGATGGAGACGCAAAAATGCTGACAGGACGGAAAGTGTGATTAGAAAGTTATCACTTTTTAATTACTTGGAGAGAGAGAGAGCGAGTACAGGAGA